AGTATATATAGGCCGTATGCAGATGCAGGTAAATTAAAATTTTCTGGCCAGCCCGCCAAACTCAAATATTTTGTTACCAAGCTTGCTTCCAAGCACAACTCCTGTGTCCGCCGATTTTAGCCGGGCCCCAAATACGGTACACGTCTACTCGTACCACTACCCCAACACCTCCGGCACCTTGAAGAACCTGTTGGGTCAAGAACTACCATATGGCCTATCATACTACAAGAGACAATCACCACCCTATCACGCAGATTGATACCGCCAATCTCGCTGATCTGAGCAGGGATTCTAAGTGCAAGGTGGAACTGTAGTATCAGCCTGCTGTCGGCCAGCCTTCCATTCCGGCGTCACTGAGTCACCATATAGATTGGAGACCGGCCCAGTTCCCTGCAATAGCCAAATCAGATCATCGATAGAGTCTAGATGGTGATGGAAATTGTGTGGATTATTGTCATAGGAATGAGGTTGTGTCGTGGTTGGCCCAGCAGTACTGGAGGGCCAGGTCAACCAGTTCCAGGGAACATATCAGATCTATCATACCTCCGCGCACAAATACGGAGACCCCATGATAATCCATTCTGAAATGTTTCCATTACATGTGCCTAACTCCCACATTGAAATTCATTGGAGATGCGACACCAATACCACTGTTTTGATATGACCTAGACCACACAAATCGCCCCTCTGGCTTCAGACCAACCCGGAGTATAACTCATCATTGTCTCAGCCCCTCGCACGATTGCCAGAAACTAATATAATGATATAGGCAGTTCTTCGCATCAGCCGGATACAGTGCAATACCAGCGACACGGTGGAGGCCAAGCATAACATGCCAGAGGCAAGATCCCGGGGTAACCAAAGAACGGACTCCAGAAGGCCGTTTCAGAGATTAAACTGAAAATAGATACTACACTTGATCTAAGCCTGTTCCATAATCGGTATCGCTTGAATGGGCCGGCGGCAGAAGTCGCGGGGGACCCACCAAAAGGCAAAGAGAGCCTAGGAAAGAAGCGGAGAAGGAGGTGGAAGTGGCCGGTTTAAATACCGTAGGCAACTCGGGGTGTACCAAGAAGTTTGAGTTTCGCCGCTTCTGGGGGAAAGGGTTTGGTGGAGGGCGAAACTACAGAGTAGAAAACGTTACGATAGAAATAATGCTAACACAATCCGTCCTAGCAGCAATTGATTCCTTTAAGTCACTTCGCCCCCAGGTTTTAGCTCCTCGAAGAATGTCCCCCACGTGACCGGGCGCCCTGCACGAGGCACATAAAATCGATTCCCAAGGGCAATTACCGGTATTGTGTCAATGACTTGGTACAAGTGGAAACACAACTAGTAAGAGTAGGGGTGGATGAAAATTACATATGTTGGGAACAGACACCGGTGGGATGTTGAAATCCATAATCAAAGGTGATATCATACCAGCAAATTGGGATTCACTAGAGCTAAACACATCCGCCCCTCCCGGGGAAACTCTCTGTGGACTCTGCTCACCTTGCCTGGATTAGCGATCTGTGCCAGATATCGCCGGTGAAACAACCTTCCACCTACAAACAGAGTGTAACTACTAGTTCAATCCTAAGCGTACCCAAAGTTCGGTTTTGGGCAGTCAAAGGTTTTGTGGAAGACAATGCAACTCATTTATCGTGTGCGCACTGCGCAGGCTGTGGTGCTAAAAGCGAAAGACTAAAAGACCAATCACATTCATTTTTTCTCTTGGACTCCTTCTCAATGCGGGGGAGAGGAATTTGTCGAGTATCATAGCAGCCTATGATATAAGGTTCGCCCATGACGTCCACTTCATAACCCTAACCCCATGGGGGAGCGCCCGACCAGTACTTTGTGGTATTTCCAAAATTGTCAGTATCCAAGTGCAAGCTCACCGCGGCTAGTTTTACCCTCACGTTTGTTTTCTAACACTCTCCTTGGCACTTTGGTCGATCAGCTATAGCCTTCCGGTTATTCCTAGGCCTGCCATGGCGACTAGGCATTGGGCAGATCAGGTGCGGTATTTGCTCATCTTGGGTTAGGCTCCGAAATGGCTCTCTGGAGCCTCTACTCCGACTATCCCTATGTTTTCTTTCCCCAGCGGGTCTTGCCCCTTGGCTTCTAGCATACTCTGACTGGCCCCCGCAGTGCGGCAAGAGCTGCCATCTCCTGCTGATGCTATGGCTCACAGCCTACGGCCCTGCCACTCTACCAGCGGCCAAGACCCGCAACCGGTACACCGAGCTGTCAAAAAGGTCAAGCCCTACAAATACCTCTAGGCCATACCCATTTCGGTTTCACTTCACTCCGCCAGTCATTGTAGGATTTCCTCCTTCCAGATGTAGGGGGCAAAGGGGTACTAGCGCCTCTAATATATCACTGGGACTACAACGAAGGGTAGGCTGGCTTGAGGCAGACCCTAGTAAGGCAATGAATCAAGAGCTACGAATTTCTCCCTCGCTCAACTCTATCAAGATTTGGTAGCGTACTTTGTATTGGAACCTTTGCCGGCAGCGGAGGATCGTCGGTTCTGTATTATCATCGAAGCACTGTATCGAGTTTTATCGTTTGTTGCGGCCATGATAATTAAAGACACTATATTCCTGTTAATGCAACGTTGGGTCGGCAGCGAGTGATTTCCCATGAGTACTCCAACCCCGACAATTCGGACCGGGCAGGCTTTCAGTAGCTCAAACACAAGTGGTAAATATATATATATATTAGTGGTATTTGACCTCTTTGATACCACGAGTGAGTGTACGTGGGGATTAATAGGCAAGGAAACTTGCGAAGCCCAAATACTCGACATACAAGTACTGCATCAAATGGATACAGGTAGTGCTGTTTCAATAGACTAGCGGTAGATAATTTATTGTATCATGCTCGCAAAACTATTGAGCTATAGTTATGTATTCCCGTGCATCTTATTAAGAGAACTGAACTTGACTGTCAGCCACTACCAGCCGCTAGCACGCCGCCCCTCATCCCAGGTTTATGGGTTTACTTGGCTCCCTCGACAGCCCCCCGGAGAACACAACCCAGCCCGCCTGAACCGATGCCCGCACCCTACCAGTGAACACAAGACCTGCTGTGAAACTTAAGGAGGGTCGGACAGATGGCATGTGCTGAGAATAGGTATTCCCGGGAGTGAATAGTAGGTCTTTCAGTTCTAAAAGGGTGGCCGGAAAGGCCTCAGAGTGGGCCGTGAAACGAATCAAGAAACGAATCAAGCAGGGCAATCTTTGCTCATATCTTCCCCCCTTGGACAGTTCCTTCACGTGTGTGCCCCTCTCTTGATAGTGGGCCCAAGCCCTCCCTTCTATGCCATCACCGGCATTCTCCATAATCCCTGCGACACGCTCCATGAAATTCTTGGATGGCCGCAAGGATCCTACAAGCTATCGCTCGAGGATTCTGACCTAACAGAGGAGCGCACAAAGGTCGGGCTATGGAATGTGGGGAATGGCTAGGAAGGTATTTCTCACGAACCCGAGCGGATAGGAGAATCAAGATAGGGGGGCACCGGTGGTCCTCAGCGACGAGGCGTTTTAGTACTCACTTTGCAGGGGCACGGTTGAAAACAAACAGTAAGGGTGCACCCCCAATGGTGGGTATGAATACCTGCTCTTCGGCGAGATAGCATTGGAAGAAAAGGGAAACAGCACCTCCTACCCGCTATGATTCACATGAGCTCACACAGTACCCCCTTGGCCAAATGACTCCGATTGTCGCCCCAAGTTTGGGCTCCCCGCTTCCTGAAGCATTTGGACGCAGCGGCGGCGCTGCTGAGAACAAGCCACCCGTCGGTGAGGTTAGTCAAAATGAGTGGAGATAGGAAAAGAGGGGCCAAATTGTACGGAAGGATCCGCCGAGCTTTCTGGGGGAGTGATGTGGCGAATTTAGGAATGTACAATTACTAGGAGCTTCGCGCACCTGAACAGGAAGCGAGGGGGGGGGGGGGGCGGGGTACGTGTGGGGATGAAGAGGATTGATATGGGGAACATGTGAGCGATTGAGGGAAAGATGTTCGAGCCATAAAATACCAATCGAACCTAGACCTGAGATATCTCAAGCTACTAAATCCAAGAACTTTCACACCTATATATAGTTCTATAACTTCCCAATCTCCTCTTTTCTTTGATTGTATTCCTATCCCTGGCGCACTCGCATAAAAAACCCAGGAAACAAGTGCAAGAATGGATAAAACTCGCGTCTAACGAGCGATAAAACCCCAAACAATTTCTTCCCTAAACGTTTTCAAACTCTACTAAACAATCCCACCCATTACGACGCCCCCTAGAAACCCCACCTCGTCCCAGACCTACAAGGGTACACCCAACCACCGCTAGGTATCTCTAAATCGTTATGATACACTCCGCCGCTTCCACAACTTAGCCGGATACCGCCAGAGTCTCTTCAGCCACCAAAACGAACGGTCGCCAGGTGATCGCCGGTGATTTCTGATACCAGCACCCGGCTCCGCTTGTACCTGGCTGGTCCTCACGGAAAGGGATTGTTGATCCCGCAATAACCTCAAGCTCCTGACACATTCCAAGGTAGTGAGGTGCTGTTCACCGAGGGCTATAGAGAATCCCTGGTAGGCCCGCTCGTAAGCCTCTTCAGCTTGAGAATACCGCTCCTGTTTTTCATATAGGCAGGCCAGACGCTGGAGGATTTCACAGACATTTGGGTGATCTAGGCCGAGCCTGCTTTCGCGAGTTGCAAGGGCACGTTGAAGGAGCCTTTCCATCTCGGCATACGTTCCCTGAGCTTCAAGGACTCGAGTTAGGTGGTCAATAGTCGACAGTAGACGAGGGTGGTCTGTGCTCAAGGCTTTCTCTCTTCCTTCCAGCACACGCCGGGACAGTGTCTCCGATTCGATGAAGTTTCCCTGCTTTAGCAACAGGCTAGACAGGTTTTTGGCCGCCGTCAAAGTATTAGGGTGGTCCGATCCAAAACATTTCTCGTACCCCTCGAATGCGCGGCGATTCATCGTCTCTGATTCTTCATACCTCCCTTGATATCCTAGCACCCCAGATAGGTTGCTGACAGCCGCCAAAGTATTAGGGTGGTCCGACCCAAAACATTTCTCGTACCCCTCCAATGCACGGCGATTCATCGCCTCTGATTCTTCGTACCTTCCTTGATCCATCAGCACCACAGCAAGGTTATTCACAGCTATCAAAGTATCAGGGTGATCCAATCCAAAACATTTCTTCCACCCCTCCAATGCGCGGCGATTCATCACCTCTGATTCTTCGTACCTCCCCTGCTCCCACAGCACCAGAGCCAGATTGTTGACAGCCATCAAAGTATCAGGATGGTCCGATCCAAAACATTTCTCGTACCCCTCCAATGCACGGCGATTCATCACCTCTGATTCTTCGTACTTCCCTTGCTTCCGTAGCACATGGGCCAGGTTATTAACAGCCATCAAAGTATTAGGGTGTTCTGATCCGGAACTATTCTCCACGTCCTCTAGGGCCTTAAGAAACATCACCTCTGCCTCCTTCACCCTTCCTTGGTAGAAGTACACCGCTCCTAAGAGAATAATTCGTGAGAGGTTTTCACCGTTCCAGTCTCGCTCTTTATCCGCTTCTCGAAGCAGAATGCACCGGCGGATCTGAATCTCGGCATTATTATAGGAGGCCATTTCCATATAATGGTTTCCCATGCGATAGACAAGGTCTTCAGCAATGGTATCCGTTGAATCTTTAGTTAATACTAGCGCATGAGACATGTAGGCCGCGCAGATATTGCACCGTTTATACTCATACTTAGGCAACAGCCTTGAGACTGCCCGTAGTCCCGTAGCCCTCCCCTGATTGGCTTGTTCTATCGATAGATATGCCTGAATAGAGAGTTGGACTAGACGGTGAAGTTCATAAAATGTTGTGCCTTCGAGTTCGACTTCCGTAACCAGTGAGAACCTCAATAGTTTTCCAATCGCCCGACAAAATTTAAGAGGATCATCCATACCCTCCAGCCCCGAATGAGTCAGTAGCTCCTTAGGTATGTTCTGACGATCGATGGATGCAAGTAACGCGAGAAGCTCTACCATCGGGGGCACATGTTCGGTAATTCTGTCAAAAGTGATAAAGTAGGTGCCCAGGATACTCTCGGTCATGTCGACCTCACGTTGGAGCTCGGAAAACTGCTCTGAAAGTAGTTCCTTCGCTCGTTTATCATTCTCGCGGAAAATAGACCAGTAAACAGAGGGTGATGTCTCATTCTCGGCCATAAAAGCTGCCGAACCCACGACAGCTAGCGGCACGTGATCCACCGAGCCTAGGATCCTTGAAACAGTCCCTTTTTCTTCATCTCCCAACTTCTGCCAGTTATGAAATCGCTTGGAAAACAGCTCCAGAGCCTCCCCCGGTTCCATCTTGCTAACCCAAACAATTTTACAGCCCTGTCGAATTGCGACCTGCCGAGATCTAGTCGTGAATATAACAGTTCCTCCACGCCCTTGCGGTACGAACTTAGAAATGGGGCTATTGTTTCCAATAAAGTCCGAGTCATTGTCGGCATTGTCGATGACTAGGATCCAGTCGCCACTATCAGGACCTTCGAGCCATGTCCTTGTACGCCGGAGCAATTCCTCCCCATCCTCCTCAGTCCTCGGTAGAGGAATTCGAACATGCTGGGCAATAGCCTTGAAACCCTCCGTAAACTTCAATATCCCACTTCCCTGCACCCAAAAAACATGGCAACGTCCTTCACTAGAACGCCGGTAAACGTATTCTAAAGCAATCTGGGTTTTTCTAAACAACATTAGTAAACCTCATACAGGTACAAGGGAACACCAAATACATACCCACAACCCCCCAACCCATGGAGTGCAACTCGGTTATGAGCGCCACCTTTGCAAACTTCCTTTATCGACTCGATGACACTCTCACGGCCAGTAAATGTACCGTTCCTGCAATATGGAACCATCCAGTATGGCCGCGATGCTTCTCTCGGTTCTGTTAGTGCGTTAGCTTCTGGATGTAAATCCGCGGAGAAACATTAATACCCCTGTTCCTCCTTGCCTGCCCTTCATTCCTCTCTCCTGGGTTTGCCTTATCGCGAGGCGTCTGTATAGTAAAGACAATGTTGCTATGGCCAAAGACATTGTGGTTACCCATATTCCCACTAAAATTCCCCTCGACATTGGATCGGACTTGACTAATCCTGAAAAGACTATTAGAAGTGCGTGGTAGAAGGATAGGGATACCCACCCATCCATCGGCTTGATAATACTTTTAGCTTTCTAGGAAGCTATGTTTGAAGGTTAGATATCGTGCTAATAAGCCGCGGCTCGCTTGGGTGAAGAGAAAATGGCCGCCCCCTTGTCGCTGATCGAAATATCCGCAGTTATCCTTTCCCTAGCCGACCCGAAAGAATATGGTATCATAGGTCGATCCGGTGGGGCACGCGCAAATGAGGGTCCAACCCTGGATATGGAAATGAATAGTTCCTTGGTTTTGGTTTTGTTTGTGGACTGGAATCCTAAAAAGTAGTGCTAGAGTCCGGTACAGTAGTAGTCAATCGTTTGGCGCATAATAGGGCTTAGAAATGGAGCTGGGGACCTAGAAATAAAAAAACAGAATAATGGGTTGGATGTGGGAGGAGAGGTATTCAGAGTGAGGAAAAATAAAAAGGTATCTCCTTGACTGGTGTAACGGTGGAAGGTTTGATGCCGCCAAGGTCAGTGGCTTAGACACAGGTTTAGCAAATTCACACAGGCGTAAACTTGAGACCATACCTAATCTTAGCTACACGATCGTACCTAGGCACACCATCATTGAAGAATACTGAGGCAGCCACTTGGTCATTCATATCTAAGCCACTGATCTTGGCCGCATGAAAGTTTCCACTGTCACACCAGTCAAGGAGATAGTATGCCGTGTTTCACCCCATATTCAGCTCTCTTTGGGATTGGTCCAGCAATTGGTCCGGCTTCGGTTGGGATCTCGGCTGGGGAAATTTTAGCCGCGAGTATTCGGATGGATATTCACTCTTTTCCCCTGAACACGAGATGAGCCCCACAACCGTGGGGCAGATTTCTACAGCATAGGACTATCCGAGTGCTCGTGCCATACCCGTGGGCGTCCCCCCACTTCGCATCGTTCGGTTGGCCAGAGTTACCTCTACCAGGAATACAGCCCTAGATCAATCAAACACTCCTGGTCGACAAATAGGGCTGGCCGACCTGGTGGAGTGGGGACGCCTTTGCATATCATGCGTATTTTCTTCCCATCGGAACCTGACAACTTTCCCACATGAGATGCGCGCAATGTTGCGACGAAGGCCTTGGCGGGATCCATGGGAGGGAATCGAGAGGGGGGGGTTTACCACGACCTCTGAAGGTGGGTGTTCGCCAAGGCTGATCTTCCTGCTGTTTTGTATAGTGCAAAGCGAGTAAAAGCGGACCCTCAAAATAGGCAAATGCAATCTTGAACTTGTCGACCAAAACAAGGAATTTTTCCAAAAAAAAAACCTAGGAAAGGAAGGGATTCAGAAGGAGAAGAATTCTTAGGTTTTTTTATTTAAATTAAGTCTTGTATGAAAAAGTAGTTCAATTTTTAAAAGTGAAAATTTTGGTGAGAGTGAAACATGTGATAGAATGTACATAGTAGCAGACTGAAAAATACTTAAGAGTATCAATGACTAAGATGTATAAATAATCAATAATAATCCTATTATGAGTACAGTATACCAGAAGGTCTACAATACAACCAATTCAAGTTCAATATCATATTACTGTCAATATGCCTCCTCTAATAAACAAATGAAAGCGTCAGCGTCAAAATGGATCTCAAGGTGGACATCCCAAAAAGCCCTTTGATTCACCACAATCCGCAATTCATAACACAAATGATTTCAATGAGAGCAGACAACCTAATATCACCATCTATGGAGACCACAAGCCAGAATGACCTACGGCAGCTAATTCTTCCTCTAATTCTCACACGCCACATTCCTTGAGAACTAGTAGGAGTTGCTCAAGTGGAAATGAGGGGCTCTCACGGACTACTTTATGGCGAAGAGGTCGTAAGGAGCAAGAGAGACAGAGACTGCAAGCAGAGCAGAGACAGGAGAACACAGTTGACTGTTGGGAGGATGTTGATAGACTAGTAGAGGAAAAGTGGCCAATGGTTACCAAAGAGATGAGGACAACAGTCCTTCAAAAAGGTATGCTCTTAATGATAATTATTGATACCTGCTTTAAGAATATTACTAATATCAGTCATGAAATATAGGTGTTTTACATCCTCCGTCTCCGTTACAACTCCGGTCATTGAAAAATATTTCCTATTTGGGAACGACTCAACACCAGAGAACTATTACTACTTTTTCGGCCAAGCACCCCCCCCACTGGGGGGGTGTAGGCCTCTTCTACTCCCCCCTCCCGCCTCATGGAGGCTACCCTTCCTGTTCCCCCTCCCTGGCTAGCCCTTGTGGCTGTTGGGGGGTCCTCCTCTTTTCTGGGGGCTCTCACGATGCCCCTACCTCCTCTCTACCCCGCTTTTGCTAGGCTCGCTTAGTATTTGCACGGTCGGCTTTCTTCTGGGTGGGGATAGTCTGACGGTCAGTCTTCTTGGTGGTCCTCTGTGCTATCGGGGGCCTGCTCCTGCCTTCTTTCACAGCTGCTGGTGGTATCCCATCCACTAAGTGACGCTCTCTCTCAGAGAAAAAGGGACTACATGAGAGAAGCGGTAATACAGCTCCTGTGTTAGGGGGAAAGGGAGGGCTTCTGTGAACCTAGTTGCAGCCTGCTGCAGTATCGTCGGGCGCACCTTGCCTGGTTTGGGCCTTCTTCCTCCTCCTCTCTTCTGGGTCGGCTGGCACCCTACTGCCCGGGTCCTCGGAGCCCTCCTCACCACAATGCGGCAGCTCTTCTATCTGCTTGCTCCCGGCCTACGGGCTTCCCTCTCGGTCTGGCTCTGCTGTCACCAGTGGCATCATCCATCCTCCTCGGCTGGCATCCTCTCTGCTGGGCTGGCATCCCCTCTGCTTCCTCTTCCTGGCTCTGACTTCCTTCAATACAGCTTAGGCCCTTTGGGAGTCATCCACACTTCAGCTGGCACCTTACTGCCACTTATCCTGTGTTCCGGCGGGCATGGGGCCAGCTTCGCCGGCCACAAGGCACGACCTGTCCTCCTCCCTTGGGATCCAGTGCTTTCATCCTTGGCCCATCGGGAGCCCAACTCGTCTGTTGCCCTCTGTTCTGACTGGTTCCATATGACCTTCCTCATGTCCTTCCTGCTCCATACCAGGGCAGGGGGGGCAGCTCTCCGGTTGGTCAGGCCATGATACAAGGCATTTGCTATAGGGGTGGGAGAGTGTTGGGCTATTGTGCTCCTTTCTGGGTCTTGGGGTTTTATAATTGTGGGAATCTAACTGTTGTTTCACTGTCGGGAGGGGCTTTCCTTTGTGCTGCGTGTCTGTGGAGGTGTGGGGTTTGCTGTATTCAGCTCCATCACTAGGGGTCCGGGTTTTATACCCTAGAGGGTTTCTCCAGGCGGCTTCTTGGGATGGGTGGACTGCAGTTGGAGGTTTTTATCGCCATACTGCGAGGTCCATGTGTTCTTTGTACCTAGTTAATAAACAAACGAAATGATAAAAAGAAAAAGAAAAAAAAGAAAAAAAAAGTATAGGTGTTTTAGATATTCGTCAGGTAATTTATCAGAAAAAGCGAGCCTCTGCTAATATGCACGATCTTGACCGCTACTTCCAAGTATTCCAGTTCATGAACTAGCAGTTGAAGCACCCTGACATGCCACAGAAAACTGCCACCCAAAATACTGCCACAGGTTGGGGGTGGAGTAAGCATACAGCAAGACACATAATTCGCTGGGAAAAAAGTTGGATTAAAACCAGAACGATTATGTCTAGTCAGCGAGGCAAGCATGCTAAATCACAAAGCATGCTAAATAATGAAGGGACATTGATTGCAGTATGTGGGCACTTAGAAGGTGCTGGAGAAAGTAAGTAATTGTCACGAACTGTGACTAAGCAAGGCAGATTTCACATAGCTCGGAATCCTGAGCTATAGATATGTTGGGA